GTCCTACCTTCTTCCTTTTTAGAGACACAGTTCAGTTAAAGAGCTCTCTTTACCCTGAAAAGCCCCTTGCATCACTACACTCCTCTTGCCACACACAAAACATTTCTGTGACTCAGTGGTAAAGAATCCAACTGCCAATGCAGGAGATGCAGGAGACACAGGTTCAATCCCTGGGTCAGGAAGATCCCCTGAGGAAGAAAACGACAACCCACTCTAGTATTCTTGCCTGAGAAATCTCATGGACAGAGGAGCATGGCAGGCTACAGTCCATGGGGTTGCAAAGAATTGGACATAACTGAGCATGCACACACATAGTTGATTTGCAATGTTGTGTTAATTTGCTGCTGTCCAGTAAAGTGATTCAATTACACACATATATACATCTTTTTTTATATTCATTTCCATTATGGTTTATCCCACAATGTTGAATACAGTTCCCTGTGCTAGACAGTAGGACCCTGCTGTTTATCCATCAGATGTTCGTTTTCAAGATTTTTGTTTCCCCCAGAGACTTCAGCCTCAGGGACTTACCTGAAAGTTCAGTGGCTAAGAACTTGCCTGCCAATGCAGGGGACTTGGATTCGAACCCTGGTCAGGGAACTAAGATCCCACATGCTGCGGAGCAGCTAAGCCTACACACCACATTGAGCCCACACGGTCCAGAGCCCATGTGCTGCAACTAGAGAGGCCACGTGCTGCAGATACTGAGCCTGTGCACCTCAAAGAAAGATCCCAAAGGGTGCAATGGAGATCCCAGGTGCCACAACTAAGACCCGATACAGTCAGATAAATAAATAATTTTAAAAAGCATGTCACCTCTGAATAAGGACAGTTGTTCTTTCTTTAAAAAAAAAAAAAAAGACTTTAGCTGCAGAATAAACCAGGTGCAGCAGCTAACCAGTGGAGGTGTGGCACTGAACTTGCTAGCTCTAGAGGTCCTCTCTTGCTCCCTCCTCTGGAGTTCATGGCAAGAGCACAAAGGCTCCCTGGGTGCCCCGTATGCTCAGAGCCTGGCCACTGGAGGACTGACTCATGCCAGAGCTGGTCCTGTCCTTTCTGCCTTCTACCAGGAAGAGGATTTTCTAGAATCCGATGAGACACTTGAATGTTGTCCTGATCACACCAGGATCTTACAGAGGCAAATGTATAGGCATTGAGGTTTCTGTTTTGTCTGAAGTTGATTTGAAAACCTGTCCAGCTGCATTTTCTGGAGTTCTTGATTCGACCTTTCATTTTCTCTCTGGACTCAGACCCCTCAATCAGCAAATCATGAACTCTGATACTGCTGGAAAATGGGTTAAGTAACTGGCAAGGACGACTTGACATTGAGAGATCCCTGATCCATTCATTGTCCTGGTTTTGTAGCCCCTTGCATTTCAAATCCAGTTACCTTGTTTTCTATAATCAAAGAGCTTGCACCACTGGCCAGCTTCAGTGCTCACCTGCAAAAGATGATTAACTTGGTTTTCCTGGTTTGCACTTTATTTTTACTGCTCTATAGTTATGTCATATTTTGCAGTTCTACCTATAAAGTGAATTGTTTAAGGCTCCCCAGTCTTGAGGTTGGTCCTCACAGAAAATGAAATGAATCTGAAGTTTGTAAATTCCATGTCTTAGGCACTCACACAGTTAACAGTTCTTTTGCTTGCAAGAAAGAGAAACTTGCCTGGTGCACTGGGAAGACCCAGAGGGATCGGGTGGAGAGGGANCCTCCACTTTCTCTTTCTTTCTTACTACATGGTTGCATCTCTCTGCTCTTCTCTGCTCATGGCTAAAGATGACTTCCCACTAAGTCCTAAATTTCTGTGTCCTCAGATCAAGCCACCAGCAGATTTCTGAGCCTGGATGGATCCCAAGTCTAAATTCCCAGGAGCAAACCGCAATGGCCCAGCTTGGGTTAAATCTATACCCCTGATCCAATCGTCTGTGGCTAAGGATGGGCCATAAGTGTTAGAAATGCTGCAGCGCCCTCTGGAGGTTGGATATTCTCACACACAGAGAGAGGTGGGGGCCGTGCAGGCACCCCAACTAAGCAGCGAAGGCCCTGTGCCACAACTACTGAGCCCACACACTTAGAGCCTGTGCTCCACAACAGGATAAGCCCCTGCGATGAGAGGCCCGTGCACCGCAGCTAAGAGCGGCCCCAGCTCACTGAAACTAGAGAAAGCCCACACGTAGCAACAAAGACCCAATGCGGCCAAAAAGAAATAAAATTTTAAAAATAAATACATAAAATGTCTAACCTATTGGGCCTGCTTTCTGAGCTGGGCTAGGCTGGGCTGAGCTGTGACTGGGGGTGAAGACAGAGGTAGGTTCGAACCACAGACTCTTAGAAGTGGGAGGGAGCTGGAGGACTGGCATGTGGAAGACAGGTCAGTCCTCTGTGACCCCCGAAGGCAGGAATAGAGCCATGTAGTCGGCGCCAATAGCAGGGAAGTGGGTTTCGGTTTGATGTAAAGAGCTTCCTGGTGCTTAGAGGTCTCCTTCTCATTCTGCTCCAGTCCCGCAAAGCCACACCATGAAGAATGCCCTCCTCAGCCCACTGATTTCTTTCTTCCTATTCAAACTGTTTTACAATTACATTTGTAGACATTTACTGCATTTGTCCCCATGGGCAGGCTGAGCTGTCCCACTTTACAGATGAGTAAACAGAGATGAGGTGACTTGATCAGGGTCCCCCTCTAGAGCTAGAATTCAGATCCCTTCCTGTCACCCAGCCCAGCCTGGCTAACTGTCTTCCTCTCCCTGAATGGGTTCCTTTGACCCCACAGGAGCTGGCCTGCCCTTGGCATCTTTATAGACAGTCTCTTGATATCTCAGACTGATGTTTGTTTCTATCACCTGCCCTGTGTGGAAGTAATGAGTGAGGATCTGCATGTCCCTTGAAAGCCAAAGTTTCTCACACTCCTCTTTCCCAAAAGAGTACTCACAAGGGGGGATTTTGTGACTTTTTAGTCACAAGTTCTTCTTTCAGGTGCAAGACAAGGATTTAACCAAAATCCGGAGGTAGTAAACAAGATTACTGGGGTTGAGTGTGGCTCCAACTTGTTCCTCAGGATCTGTGTGAGCCTTCCTCTGCCCTGCCCACCCCCACAACTTGATTTTGTTTTGTTGTTGGTTTGCAGTGGCATGGTTTGGCCACACCATGCAATATACAGGATCTTAGTTCCTTGACCAAGGATCGAACCTGGACCCCCAGCAATGGAAGTGCAGAGTCTTAACCACAGAACTGCCAGGGAAGTCCTTGCCTTGCTCCTCTTTATCTGGCTCAGGTGTCACCCCTCACAGGGGCCTCTCTGATCCTCACTCATGCCCACTCCCAAACACCTTACCCTTGTTAGAGTTTCCTCCTGGTTCCCACAGCCCTTATGTTTAATGCATACAAACCAGGGCAGTATAGCTCAGAGGTTAAGGGAACAAAGTTTAGCTGAACAGATGGCAGTCACATCTTCCACTCCTCACTAGCTGTGTGACCTTGGAGTAGTTACTTAACCTCTCTGGGCCTGTCTCCTCATTCATAAAATGAAAATGGTAGAGTATCCATCTCCTGGAATCAGCATTCCCAGGTGATACATGTGACAAGTGAGCACTGGTGAATGATGTCTGTGAGTAGCAAGCACTCCCTTTACAGCACTATGATTATAGGAGATCTGACTTATGAGGGCTTTAGAACAGGGCCTGGCACCAAATAACACAGTAATAATAGCAATCATAGTAGTAGTGTGCTTAAGTCGCTCAGTCATGTCCAACTCTTTGCAACCCCATGGACTGTAGCCCGCCAGGCTCCTCTGTCTATGGCATTCTCCAGGCAAGAATACTGGAGTGGGTAGCCATTCCCTTCTCCAGGGTATCTTCCAGACCCAACGATCAAACCTGGGTCTCCTGAATCACAGGTGGATTCTTTACTGTTTGAGCCACCATTATTGGAGATCTGACTTTTGAGAGCTTTACAACAGAGCCTGGCACCAAATAACACAGTCATAGTAGCAATCGTAGAAGTAGCGTCATTTTTCACACTGTCCTTGATAAATTGTCAGTTGGCATGTCTGCATCAGTGAGAAATAGGTGTGTCCTTTGCTTTCAAATTCCCATGGCCCAACAAAGAGCAGGCACCTAGTAAACAGCTATTGAATGAACAAATGAACAGATTCTGTTAGGCTCTACAAGGCACAAAAGTACATTCAAAAGTCATTGTTCCATGCAGAAGGCAAAATTAAGCTGGTCCGAAGGCTCTAAGACAAGGGCCAGACAGTACATTTTCAGGTTCCATGGGCCACAGGCGTTCTGTGGCAACCATTCAACTCTGCCGTTGTCGTGGGAAAGCAGCTACAGACAACAGGTAAATGAATCGGCATAGCTGTACTCCAATCAAGTTTTATATATGCACACTAAAATTTGAACTTCATGAGGTCATAAAGTGTTATCCTTTTGATTTCTTTCCCCCTCCCCGCCACCACCGTCACCAACTACTTCAAAAAATGGAAAAACAATTCTTATCTCGCTAGGCATTCAAAAATAAGGGGCTGTGGAGAAGGAAATGGCAACCCACTCCAGTATTCTTGCCTGGAAAAGTCCATGGACAGAGGAGCCTAGCGGGCTGCAGTCCATGGGGTTACATGACTGAGCACTCGTACATGAGGGTGGAGGGAGATGGGTTGGTAGCAATAAACTGGAAAAACTTAAAATACATATATATATATGTATATATATATATAATGGGCTAGTTCGATTTGGCCCGGGATATGGAGAGGCCCACCTTTGCCCCACTGATTAGGCGAGCTAGATTTGGCTCCGAGGAGCGCGCAGACAGAAAGGCGGGCCCTGGAATGGGTCAGGCAAATGGGCGGGGCGAGGGCGGGGCATCGTGTCTTGCGTGCAGTTGGGAAGGGCAGACCCGATTGGTCTACTCCAGCGGCGGAGAGGTAGAGGCGTGTTCGACATCCAGCCCATCAGCGCAGCGCTGCCGCCTCGCCCCGCCTCGCGCAGGCGTCTTGGTGACACGGAGAGAACGCCACGCCCCCTTGTGCGCCCAGAAGGGACTTCCGGGACGGGCTCGCAGTGACGTCAGGAGGAGGGCAGGTAAGTGCGGGAGGGCAGAGGGGCGGGCAGGCCCGGTTTGGCTAGGGGGTCTGTCCACTTCCTCATCAGGTCTGTGAGCCGCCCGAAGGAGGCGAAAGTGCCGGGTCCGCGGAGCTCTGCGGACGTGGGCCTGGTGATCGAAGCCCCCCGCGACCCAGCCTTAACCCCCTACCCCAAACCCCGGACCCCGGCCCATATTCGATACCTCTTCAGGTTTTCCTCAGGGACAGTAAACCCCTACCTCTCAGCGTCGTGGTGAAGATTTTGTAAAATGACGCTTGTAAAATGATTTGTCATGAGAAAGAATCAAAACGACCATCGTTTAACTTGGCATCAGGCGCTGTTCTAGATCCTTATTTAACTCACCGAGTCTTGACAGCAGCCTTATCAGGTTGATACTTTTATAAACCCCATTTTACAAGTAAGAAAACTGAGGCTCAGAGAGAGAAGGAATTTGCCTATACTGCTAGAAAGCAGCAGAGTCAGGATCCAAGCCCCAGCATTGTGCCCTGAGCCAATGGGATTTATCATTATTCTTGACACCAAAAACCAGAGATTTCTATACATCCTCCCTATAGTCCAACCTGTGCCGCTCGCTGGGGTGATAAAACCGCTGAAAGACCCCAACTCCTGTAAATGGAGTGCTTACTCTGTGCAGGCATTACCCAGTATGTTATTTCATTTACAGCAACCACAGAAAGTCCTCTTGCTGTCATCCACTCTACAGATGAGGAACTGTACGCTCAGGGAGGCTCAGACATTGGCCAAGTTTCCCCAGCTAGTGAGGAATGGAGCTGGAGTTCCAGCCCAGGGAACTGTGTGTCCTTAAAGCTTGGGTCTTGAGAGTCCCTTGGACTGCAAGGAGATCCAACCAGTCCATCCTAAAGGAAATCAATCCTGAATATTCATTGGAAGGACTGATGCTGAAGCTGAAACCAATACTTTAGCCACCTGATGCAAAGAACTGACTCATTGGAAAAGACCCTGATGCTGGGAAAGGTTGAAGGCAGGAGGAGAAGGGAACGAGAGAGGATGAGATGGTTGGATGGCATCACCAACTCGATGGGCATGAGTTTGAGTAAGCTCTGGGAGTTGGTGATGGACAGGGAAGCCAGGCATGCTGCAGTCCATGGGGTCTCAAAGAGTCAGACACTACTGAGCGACTGAACTGAAAGCTTGGGTGGGCACTTGCAGTTTTGTTAGTGTTTTTAGTTTGGAAGTGACTTTAGGAGAATCTGGTCCAGGGGCACACATTACAGGTGGAGGATCTGAGGTGTAGAGGGACTCAGGATGGGATGGTGGAAGACTTTATATCGGGGGCTTTTCACCCTGGCTCTGCCTTCTCGTAGGCTTCTGAGCTCGGGCAAGTTATTTAAGCTCCCACGTGCTCGTTTGTCAGCTGGAGGTAGTAATAACATCAGTGGAGCGTGTGACACATAGTAACTATTAGCATACAGCTAAGTTGGCAGAAATTATTAGAGACTTCCTGACTAGCGCAGGGAGCAGAAAACTACACTCACAGGCCAAAATCACACCACCGCCTGATTTTGTACAGCCCGCCAGCATGAAATGGTTTTAACTTCTTAAATGGTTGGGAAAAAATCAAAAGAAGGATAATATTCTGACAGGTGACAGTCCTGCGAAATTCAAATTTCAGTGTCCATAAATAAAATTTTGCTAGGATGCAGCTATACCCATACATTAACATACTACCGGCTACTTTCTGGCTGAGGCAGCTCAGTTGAGTCTTTGGGACAGAAATTCTGGCCCTCAATGGAGAAAATTTACCAGTCCCCATTATGGACTACACTTTAGTCCCTCATAATGTCTATTCTCTCTCTTTTAATTTCTTCTAGTTTTTTTTTTATTGAAATACAGTTGATTTACAATGTGTTAACTTCTGCTTTACAACAGTGTAATTCAGTTATACATTTTACATATATATATATATACACATTCTTCTTTAAATATTCTTTCCTGTTGCGGTTTATCATAGAATACTGAATAGAGTTCCCTGTGCTATACAGTGGGACCTTGTTGTCCATCTATCTATAATAGTTTGCATCTGCTAACCCCACATTCCCATAGCATTTCTCTTTAGCATCAAGTTGAACTTCCTTCTGTTTGACTGGAAAGTCTCTCCTCTGAACATGAGGGGAGAGGGAGTCTCCCCACCCCACATTAAAGGAGCCCGGCATTTAACACCCAAGTCATTGACACTGCTTCTTATGGAACCTCGATCAATTATCAGAGGTTCACACAGTCAGCATTTATCAGGAGCTGTCCGGGGTGCCGGAGATGTAGCACAGTGTGGCCTGGCAGAGGAGACAGACTGTAAACAAGTAAGCAGACCCAGGGTGACATGATAGAAACTCCAGGGAAGAAGTGACTTGAGATCACGTAGGCAGGTGAGGCCTCCCACTGAGGTGATGTCCGAGCTGAGATCCGTGACAAAGAAGAGACTTGGTAGAACGGCACTTGAGGCAGTTGGCCTGCACCTGCTGAGCCGTCTGAGGCAGGGAGCCAGTGTGACTGGAGCAGAGTGAGGGAGAGGGCGAGGGGTAAGAGTTGGGCTTGGGGAGGCAAGCAGGGGCCCCATAGGCCATGGAAAGGGACTCCACTTGATTCTCAAAGCCCTGGGAATCCCTGGAGGGCTGGGTTTTGTTTTTGTTGTTGGTTTTTTTTTTTTTGGTTGTGCTGGGTCTTTGTTACTGTACAAGGTTTTCTGTAGTTGCGGTGAGTGGGGGCTACTCTGTAGTTGCAGTGCTCCAGCTTCTTATTGCGGTGACTTCTCTTGTTGCAGAGTACACGTTCTAGGGCACTCAGGCTTCAGTACTTGCGGCCCATGGGCTCAATAGTTGCCGCCCCTGGGCTCCAGAGAGCAGGCTCAATAGTCGTGGCACAGGGGCTTAATTGCTCTGTGGCTCATGGGATCTTCTCAGACCAGGGATCGAACCCGAGTCTCCTGCATTGGCAGGTGAATTCTTTACCCCTGAGCCACCAGGGAAGGGTTTTAAGCCCCCTGGAGGGTTTTACGCAGGAGAGCTGTAGTTCAGATTTATATTTGAAGAGATCCTTCTGGCCCTTATGAGGACAACAGACCGTGAGAGTCAGGGACAGAGCCAGGAGCCTAGTGAGGAGGTGACGGTACTCCTCCAGGTGAGGGATGATGGGGGCCATGGAGGGGTGAGAAGTGTCAGCTGGGAAATATATGTTGGATGGAGAGTGGACAGGACATTCCCTTTCCAAACAGCCAATTACCCAGATGCCTCCTACACCCGGGGGAGGACCACCACGCACAGCCCCCCACGTCTTCACAGGGAATCTGTGGACTGCTGGGCTGTCCAGAAGGGCAGCACGGCAGTGAGTCAACAAAGCTGTGTCTCATCTTTTCAGATTGGCCACGTGGAGGGCGAGGACCTCTAGGCAGCTACCAGGATGGTACGTAGACGGACTATGCTCACTGGGTTTCTCTTCTGGTCTTTGATACAGGGAAGGGGCCCCCTGAGTAGCCTCCTCTCTCCCCTAAAAGTCCCCTTTCCCATCCCTACCCCTGACCCCAAGCTCTAAGGTATTTTTAAACTCTGCATCAAGGTCTTTTCAATGCAGTGGTTTCAAACTTTGTGCATGCATGCATGCTAAGTCACTTCAATCATGTCTGACTCTGTGTGACCCTGTGGACTGTAGCCTGCCAGGTCTGTCCAGAGGGATTGTCCAGGCAAGAATACTAGAGTGGGTTGCCATGCCCTCCAGGGCATCTTCCTGCCCCAGGGATCAAACCCACATCTCTTGTGTCTCCTGCACTGGCAGGCAGGTTCTTTACCACTGGAGCCACGTGGGAAGCCCAAACTTTTGTGTGTGCTAAAATCACCCCAGGAGCTTTTTGCTTTGCTTTCCTTTTTTTAAAAATGAGGTGAAATTCACAAAACATAACATGAACATTTTAAAGCATGTGATTCAGCAGCATTTAGTGTATTCACAATATTTTGCAACAACCACCTCTCTCTAGTTCCAAAACATTTCCTTCACCCACAAATGGAAACCTTATACCCAATAGCAGTTGCTCTCATCCCGTCCACCCACACTCCCAGTCCCTGGCAACCCCCAGTCGGCTTCCTCTCTCTGTGGATTTGTCTGTTCAGGACCTTTCATGTCAACGGAATCGTGACCATGTGTCCTTTTGTATCCAGTTTCTTTCACTTAGCAGGATGTTTTCAAGGTTTATCTGTTAAAACATTAGAGCAGGTATTAGAGCTTCCTTCCTTTTTATGGCTCAGTAATATCCCATCACATGGTTGGACTACAGTTTGTTTATCTGTTCATCCATTAATGGACACCTGGGTTGCTTCCACCATTTGGTTATTGCAAACAAACATGTATGCACAAGGATGTGTAGAAACATGTTTTCCAGGTTGCTTTTGAAAAGCCCTGTGTCCTGTGACTTCCCTGGTCAGGGAACAAGATCCCAAGTGCTACATCTAAGACCCAGTACAGCAAATAAATAAATTTTTTTTTTCAAATGGGCTTCCCTGATGACTCAGTGGTAAAGAATTCTTCTGCCAATGCAGGAGACGCAGGTTCAATCCCTGGGTCGGGAAGACTCCCCTGGAGAAGAAAATGACAATCCACTCCAGTATTCTCCCCTGGAGAATCTCATGAATAGAGGAGCCTGGTGGGCTACAGTCCATGGGGTCGCAAAGAGTCAGACATGACTTAGCGACTAAACAACAACAACCACCGCCCCAAAAAATAGAGAAGGGAAAAACCCTATGTCCAGGCACCGGAGCCGGTGCTGTGTTAGGCATCCGTATTTTGGAAACTCCTCGGGGACTTCCCTGATGGTCCAGTGGCTAAGATTCTGCCCTTGGAATGCAGGAGACCCAGGTTCGATCCCTGGTCAGGGAACTAGATCCCACCTGCCGCAAATAAGACCCAGCACGGCCAAATAAATAAATACTAAAAAAATATATAAATGTATGGTTGTAACGTGCAGCCAGGTTTGAGACCCACTGCTTTGATAGATCATTCAGTCAATTCAGCGGGTGGCTGCTAGCATTTAAAAGAGAGACTCTCACAGCTGGATGAACATTCTTTCCTGAAACCCATACTTTGACTGTATTACGTGTGTATGTGGTGTTAAATATGTCTTATTTTAAGTCACAGTCCCAAAATAACCGTGAAAGCCATTGTTCTAGGAGAGCCTGACCCTCGTGGAATTTTCCACAGCAATGGCGGTGGAGCATGTTTTGTTTTGTTCTTTTGGCAGAGCCGTGGAGCTTGCAGGATCTTAGTTCCCTGGCCAGGGATTAAACCTGGGCCACGGCAGTGAAAGCACCAAGTCCTAAACACTGGACTGCCAGGGAAGTCCTGACAGTGGGTTTTTTTCTCCCTAAGTCTCCAGTCCTCAGCCACACATCCTCCAGGAAGTCCCTGTCTCCCTCATCCAGGTCTTGCCCCTTGAGGCTGCACAGGTAGGTCTGCTGCAGGACCCACCCTAAGTCATGTCTCTCTTCTGCTTTCCAGGGTGAAAGGAAAGGTGTAAACAAGTACTACCCTCCAGATTTCAACCCTGAGAAGGTAAGGGGCAGGCTTCCTTCTCTGTGTCCACAATACCAAAGCAACCCCACTGGGCAGGGGCCCACACACATCGTCCCCTCCTGGAGTCAGAACCACGGCTGCAGAATCCCAGGCAGCCTGAGAAGCCTCCCTGCCTTACGCTCATCACCTGGGTCTCGGGGCAGCCTTCCCTCCTGGGTGGTCAGTATGGTCCTCAGCAGACCCAGCATTGGGTGTGGCGTATTTCCAGCGGAGCCAGGATGAGATCCCCTTGCCCTTCCGACTCCAGCTCCACTGGCCTCCTCGTTGTTCCCTCTGCTGGGAATTTCTGCCTCATTTTGACCCACGAGGCTGCTTTCCTTCCTTTAGGTCTCTCCTCACAGAGGGCCTCCCTGACCACCACCTCGTGTTCCGTCCCATGACTTAGTGCTTTATTTCTCTCATAGCTCCCACAACTCCCTGACACATGGTTTATTTCTTTGCATATTACCCATCTCTCCACCTGGAATGTCTACTGCTCAAAGCCAGGGATGTCCATCTGTCTCGTTCAGGCTGTGTCCCCATGCTGGGTGCTCAGTGTGGGCCTTTGAATGAATCAGAGCTTCCTGGCTGGTGCTCCCTGCTGCTCGGCCTTTCTATGCCACAGTCTCCCCGTAGGTCCAAAGGGGCACCAAAACGACCTGGCCTCCCAGAAACATGGAGGGATTAAAGTGAGACGAGGCTCATAAAGTGCCTGGCAGCCATTTGCCAGTCTAGTCGCCTCACCCAGTCCCCCCCACGACACCCGAAGGCAGTTATGATCCTTGTCCCCAGTTGACTTGGAAAACCAGGCTCAGAAAGGCAAAAAGATGAGGTCACCGCCCAGGGTTGCACAGCTTATTTAGCTGCACCCGCTTCACCAAAGCCTCTGTGCCTCCCGTTTGTTGTTAACGCTTCCAGTGGAGCATAAGAATGAGGCCTCTCTCAGCCTGTGGGAGAAGGCCTGAGCTCCCCCCACTCAGCAGTGCTAATCTGCTCCCTCTTCCTTACCACACAGCATGGCTCCCTCAACAGATACCACAACAGCCACCCCCTTCGGGAGCGGGCTCGGAAGCTGTCCCAGGGCATCCTCATCATCAGGTAAGGCCCTGATTGTCACCTGGGGACCTCGGTTCATTGTGTCACTTGGCATCAGCCTCAAGGGGAACATTCAGGACCCGCTGATTTTTCCCAGAGCTTCAGGGTCTTCATTCCATAAAGCAGAAAGTTGCTGTTATCAGTCAGCTGTTGCCACGTAACAAAATAATAAGCATGTATTATCTGTTGTTCCTGAGTCTACAACTCAGCTGAATGCCTATGCTAGCCTTGGCTGGGCTTGGCTGATGTGGGCTGGGCTCTCACATGTTTGGAGGTTGCCTGGCTGGGGACTAGCTGGTCCAGCGTGACCTTGGTTGATAAGACTGGGCTCCATTCCAAGTGGTTCTCATTCTCCAGCCAGCTAGCCTGGGCCTGTTCATACAGCAGCATCCAGGTTCTCAAAGAGCCAGCACAGGCACACATGCCTTCTTGAGGCAGGGACCCTGAGCTGGGTACCCTGTCACTTCTGTCTTCATCAGTTCCCCAAAGCAAGTCATGATGCGGGGTGGGGGGTGGGGCAGGACACTCCACCTCTTCACGGGAATCGTGCAGAGGCACCTAGCAAAAGGCACAGACGTGGGGAGCATAAAGAATCTCAGCCTTTACTGTGGTCGAGCCAGGATGACAGCCCTTCCTACAGGGTTCTCTTATTTCTGGCCAGCTCCCTGTGGGTTGGCTGTGGAATGAAGCAGAAGCCAGCGTGCGTCACCCTCTAGGGTGAGCCCCCCACTGTCTCCTTTTCTGCCTCGTGGACTCTACCCTCAGTCTCTGAAGTTCACCCTGGGCCTGAGCAGAACATCCAGTAGCAAATCCATCAGAGGCAGGAATATCTATGGAAAAGGAATCAAGATACATATCCCGGAAGAGGCCATGGGAGGCATGGAGCTGAAGGTCACCTCCAAACTCCTACCATGCCCCATACCCCAAAACCAACCAAGTGTGCCTGCCTTGGGCCTGCACCCCATTCTTATCCACTGTGTCTGCAAAGCCTTCAGCTCATATGCTGTTGTTGAGTTGATAAGTCATGTTGGACTCTTTGCAACCCCATGGACGGTAGCCCGCCAGGCCCCTCTGTTCATGGGATTTCTCAGGCAAGAATACTGGAGTGGGTTGCCATTTCCTCCTCCAGGGACTCTTCCCAACCCAGGAATCGAACCCACGTCTCATGTCTCCTGCATTGACAGACGGCTTCTTTACCATTGAGCCACCAGGAAATACCGCCATCTCATATGTACTGTGTCTTAAATTCACCTCTTTATTCATTACTTAATGGCTTTATTTTAAAAGAAAAGCTCCATCACTACCGTTAATGGAAATTTAGCAGAATTGCATGCTGCAAATAGAGCTGGAAAAAAGAGATCTAGGGACAGTACAGTAACTTAGTGAAGATGGAATAGGTCACCAGGGCTCCCTGCAGCCTGTTTCCTCCTCTGCTTGGAAGCTTGACTAGCTGACAGGGAGGGATGCGGGAAGACAGGGCAGCCCCACTGGAGCCGCTCACCTGGACTTGGTCAGCTGGCCAGAGAACCACGTGATGGACCTGGCCTGCCTGCAGGAAGGGCCACCGTTTTTTTTGTTTGTTTTCATTTCGGTTTTGTATTTGGCCATGTCACGAGGCATGCAGAATGATGGTTCCCTGATGGGATCGAACCCAGACCTCTGCAGTGAAAGCACCAAATCCTAACCACCAGGCCACCAGGGAACTCCAAGGCCACCATTCTTTATCCTCCCACATCCACGCCCTTTGTAGCGTAACTGCAGCCAGAGTCTCAGGCATGGAGACCCGGGGAGAACCCATGTGGACAAGGACAAATGAGCTGTTCTCTGTTTGTGTAGGTTTGAGATGCCCTATAACATCTGGTGCGACGGCTGCAAGAACCACATCGGCATGGGTGAGCTTCTGCCTGCTCCCCACCCCGCCCCCCACTATTCAGCCCCACAGCCAGCGAGCCCCTTAACTTGCTGGGTGCTGTAAGAGACCATCTCGCTGATGCTCTAGTCAAGAGTCAAGGAGAAGATAGGCCCCCCTCTCCCCCACTCCCAGTAACTGGTGGGCTGTGGCCACTTGATGGCAGGGCAGTTAGGAGGCTCTGGGTTCAGATCCCGTCCCTGCCACTCCCTAAGCTGGGTAACCCTTAGCAGGCAACAGAGCCTCCATGCGCTTCGGTTTACGCATCTGTGAAATTCACATGATATGAGTGTCTGCCTGCATGGCACAGAAAGTGCTTAGTGCAGAGAAAGAAAGAAAGAAGGGTGGGCTTTTATTATTTTTCTAGAGAATATCCAGGTTTTGCGGGGTTTCTTTTTCACTAATTAGATGATATATTCTGGGCTCTGATCTTGCTTACTAAGTGAAAAAGGCTTAAACTCCAAAAACAGAACTTGGAGTGGTGGATAGTGTGGCCCCACTGGGTTTTCTTTACCTGGGAGGCTGGGGACTGCTCCGGTTCACAGCCCCGAGGGTCAAGCTGAGCCCTGCTGTTTGTGCCCTGAGAGCCTCGTGGCCTTTGGAGCAGCTGTCCCTGGCTGGGTGTGATCAGGGGGATGCGTTAGAGGGGTCTCTCAGCCTCAGCAGTGGGGCGACGTGGCCCCTGCTTCTTGCACTGGTCCCTCCCTCTGAAAGCCACCAGCTCCTGTTTATAGAGCAAGCTCTCCCCTGGGCTGGGTGCTGTGGGATGGGCTGGGGATGTCTGCACTGCAGAGAAGGAAACCCAAGCCAGGGGGGCTGAGTCACCCACTCCAGGCCTCACACCCCTGTCTGTCCATCCATCTGTGGGCACAGTCAGGGGTTCGAATGCTGAAGGTAACAGTAAGGGCAGTGGCAGTGGCAGGTCACGTCTGCAAGCCCTCGCACGTGCCCACGTGCTGTGCGCTAAGCACTGTATTCATTTCCTGCTTTTAAGCCACACAGTGCGGCTTGAAGGGTCTTAGTTCCCCAGCCAGGGATTTGAATCCATGCCCCCTGCAGTGGAATCGAGGGGTCCCAACCACTGGACTGCCAGGGAAGTCCCCAAAACCAGCCCTTTTGGAATGATCACTGGCACCCAGCCCTGTGTTAAGTGCTCCATGTGTGTTAACTGGCTTCTGCAGTTTGCATATCAGCCCTGTGTGGTGGTCATCATAGCCATCTCAATCCAGTAGATGGGGAACCTGAGGCCAGATGGCCAGGCAGCTGCTCTAAGGTCATGCAGCTGGTAGGGCAGAGCCAGGATTTGAACCCAGGCCCTCTGGCTCCACCCCACCACCCTTTGTGGCTTGAGCACCCATCCCACAGCCTTGACATGGCTCTTTTCCACTTGAATCTCTGTAGGTGTCTCCCCTGTAGGCCCGTGGAATGCCACCACTCCTGTCTGCCCCACCACCACCCCAGGAAAAGATGCTGAGGGTGCCCCCTAGCCTCATTCTCTCTCTTTCCTCCCAGGTGTTCGTTACAATGCAGAGAAGAAGAAGGTTGGCAATTACTACACGACCCCAATCTACAGGTAAAGGCAATCTGGTGGGCTGAAGGGTGAGGGGCTCCACAGAAGTCTGAGTGGGAGGGAGGCTTGTACCGTCTGCCTGAGGGTCACCCCTGTGGGTCTCTCCTGGAAACCGGCATGGTCTGTCAGTCCGGGCGCATCCTGCCTAGACACCTCCATGGCTCCCTCCTTCCTCGGACTAAAGTCCTCAGGTCTCCCTGTGGCCCACAAAGCCCCCTCCCTGCCTTCACCTCCTCCCACCCTCCCCATCACTCACTCCCCTCCAACCACACAGCCTCCTCACTGCCCCTTACAGAATCCCTCTTTGGTGCCCTCTGCCTGGAACATCTTCCCCAGACATCTGCACGGCCCCCTTTCCCTCCTTGGATTTCTGCCCCAAAATCGCCTCTCAGGGAGGCCTTTTCTAAAGCAGTGCTCTCCCCCCAACTCTGCTGTGGTCTGAGCATCCCCTGCCCACTCAGCTGCCACTGGCGCATCAGCCCTGCCGAGCGCAAGGTGGCCTCCTTCACCACTGAGTCCCCAGCAGCTGGTCCCAAGCCTGCCACAGAGCAGCCTGGCTTGGGAGGGTTTGTTGAACGAATGAGTGAACAAATGAACGAACAAATGAATGAGTGCATGGATGAATAATAAACTCCAGACAGAAGATCAGTACCAGGGTGAGGGGCCCACATGTGTCACAGACACGGAGACCAGCATGTAGGCGGTTCTCTGCGAATGCTAGTAGATGGTGTAATGTACACGATGGAAGGAAGCAGGCAGGGGTCACAGGGTGTCCCAGGGCGGCCACAGTGTTCAGATTCCCGCCTGCCACCCTCCACCCTCCCAGGTTCAGGATGAAATGCCACCTCTGTGTCAACTACATCGAGATGCAGACAGACCCCGCCAACTGTGATTATGTGATTGTGAGCGGCGCCCAGCGCAAGGAGGAGCGCTGGGACATGGAGGACAACGAACAGGTGCTGACCACAGGTGAGCGCTGTGGGGGGGTTCGGACCCCAACCCTAGTCCTGAGCCAGGGCCCCGAAAGTCCAGCCCCGTTCTCACTCTTGCAGAGCATGAGAAGAAGCAGAAGCTGGAGATGGACGCCATGTTCCGCCTGGAGCACGGCGAGGCTGACCGGAGCACGCTCAAGAAGGCCCTCCCCACCCTGAGCCACATCCAGGAGGCCCAGAGCGCCTGGAAGGACGACTTCGCCCTCAACAGCATGCTTCGGAAGAGGTTCCGGGTGAGTGGGGCTCCCGGCCCAGGGTTGGGACCACAGGCGGTGAGGCATCACCAACAGTGGAGCAAAGAAAGTGAAAGTTAGTCATTTAGTCATGTCTTACTCTTTGCGACTCCATGGACTGTATGTAGCCCACCAGGCGCCTCTGTCCATGGAATTCTCCAGGCAAGAATACTAGAGTGGGTAGCCAATTCCCTTCTCCAGGGGATCTTCCTGACCCAGGGATTGAACCTGGGTCTCCTGCATTGCAGGCAGATTCTTTAACATCTGAACCACCCAGGGAGTCCTAACAGTGGAGCAGGGAGAACGCAAAGTGGGCTGAGACCCAGGCCCAGCCTGTGCCCCATCACTTCCTAACTATAGGCAGTCTTTTCACCCACAGTTTCCCCATCCACCACGTGGGGACCACCTCCCTACATCACAGTGCCCAGGGGAGGCATCTGGCCAGCAGCTTTTTTTTTTTTTTAAATAATCTTTCTTTATATTTGTCTGTGCTGGGTCTTCATTGCTGTGCCGGCTTTTCTCTAGTTGCAGTGCGCAAGCTTCTCATTGCGGTGGCTTCTTTTGTTGCAGAGCACAGGCTCTAGGCACTCGGGCTTCAGTAGTTGCAGCACACAGTAGTTGTGGCTCACTGGCTTAGTTGCTCTGTGGCTTGTGGGATCTTCCCAGACCAGGGATTGAACCTGTGTCCCCTGCATTGGCAGGCAGATTCTTAACCACTGGACCATCACAGAAGCCCAGGGGTTTTCTTACTAATTATTTGTTACTAAAAGTGTGTCCCTCTGGCCAGGCCGGTAGCCTGAGTTGTCTGTCCCCTGCCTTCTGGGCATCTCTGATTGGCATCTGAGAGCCCCCAAACATAACATCACAGAGAAATCCCATCAATCCCACACCTGCCCTGCCTGCATCTTCCCCTTCTCAGTAATAGAAGCATCTTTGTTCTTCCAGGCACTCAGCCTTGTTCCTCTTGTTATAACCACCATTATATCCCCACCTCCACATCCATAAGCAAATTCTGGCAGACTCTGACAATATCCACAGCCTACATCATCTCCCGACTGGACTAGCACAATCTACACGCTGGTCCCCAGTGGCTCCTAGCTTTGTGTCCCACAGCCTGTTCCCCTCACAGCCATCAGACGGCACCCGTGAGCACCTGAGTGGGATCACATCCCTCCTATGCTCAGAGCCCTCCATGGTTCCCAGTTACTTTAAGTAGAACCCAAAGTCCTCCCCATGGCCCACCAGGCCCAAATAATCTGCCCTTTTCCCTTCCTACCCCCATCTCCACCTTCCCCTTGCTCATTCTGCTCCAGCCACATTGGCCACCTCACTGGCAAGTGCAGTTCTGCCTCAGGGCCTTTGCACAGGTTGTTCCTTCCCCCTTGGAACACTTTTCCACCTAATACCCACATGACTCCCTTACTTAGACATCTTTTCTTGAACATAATCTTCTCAGGGAGACTGCCCCTGCCCCCCCCTCCACCCTGTGCCATATTTAAAGTTGAATCCCCCTGCCAACCCTCACCCCCTTCCCAGCATTATTTTTCTCCTCGTCATTTTGTCTCACTTACCCACTCATATGTCAGCTTCACCAGGGCAAGGGTTTTTGTCTGCTCACTGCTGTGTCCCTAGTGTCTAGAACAAGGCCTGACACCAGAAGGACATTCTGTAAATATTTGTGGAAAGAATGAATAACTGGGAACTTCCTTGGCAGTCTAGTTGTTAGGACTCCATACTTCCACTGCAGGAGGCGAGGGTTTGATCCCTGGTTAGAGAGCTAAAATCCTGCCTACATTGAGTCACAGCCAAAAAAAACAATGAATGCATGAAGGACCCAATGGTACACATAGTAATAACAATTGTGTCTCCTGTTTGTTGAACAAGTTCTGTGTCCCGAGCACTGTGTGAGGCCCTTTCGTCACATAAACTTAAAGAGGAAGAGACGGGAGGAGAGCTCGAGGGGATGCCCATGCCAGCTCCCAGCTCAGAGCGCATGGAAGAGGCATGACTCTGACACCCACCATCCCTCCCTGTGGCTGCTCTATAGAGCTCAGTGGTAAAGAATCTGCCTGCCAGTGCAGGAGACGCCGGAGACCAGAGTTCGATCCCTGGGTTGGGAAGCTCCCCGGGAGGAGGAAATGTCAATTTGCTCCAGTATCCTTGCCTGCCTGGTGGGCTACAGTCAATAGGGTCACAAAGAGTCAGACACAGCTGAGTGACTGAGCGCCGTCCTTCTGCACCCACTTCCTCCCCGACACAGGAAAAGAAAAAAGCCATGCAGGAGGAGGAGGAGAGGGACCAGGCACTGCAGGCCAAGGCCAGCCTGGCCATCCCGCTGGTGCCGGAGACAGAGGATGACCGCAGACTGGCCGCCCTGCTGAAGTTCCACACCCTAGACTGTGCGTGGGGGCCAGTGGGCCTGGGGAGTCGGGTGGGGGGAGACGGGGGGTAGGCGCTCCGGCAGAGGGCGGCTCTGGACCTCCTTCTCCCCCTCAGCGTACGAGGACAAGCAGAAGCTCAAGCGGACAGAGATCATCAGCCGCTCCTGGTTCCCCTCCACCCCGGGAGCCAGTGGCGGCAACAGCAGCAAAGCCAGCAGTGTCCTGAAGAAACTGGCCCAGAACCGCAGAGCCACTCCCACCAGCTCCCCCGTCACCATGGGGCACCTGGGCATCGTGCGGCGGCGATCCCGGGAGGTCCCAGAGAGCCCCCAGCACCCGGCCGAAACCTTCAAGTTTGGGGAGCCACAGGTGCCAGAGGGGGCCAACCAGAACGGGCCCACCTCCCCCCGAGACTGCTCTCTGGAGACAGCTGAGACCCCTAGGAACAGCGGGCCACTGGGGCAGGAGGAGAGCTGTCAGGACAGGCCCCAGCCCCCTCCAGACACCGCCCCCGAGGCAGCCAATCCCCAGGACACACCACAGCCCTGCAGCCTCGGCTCCTCGCTCGTGGCTGACTATTCCGGCTCCGAGAGCGAGTGACTCCACGGCCCAGATTCACTCCAGAGGCCAGGACTCACCCAGGAGGCCCCTCCCAGGCTGCAGCCCCGCTGGCCCACCAGCCCTTGGAGAGCTCAGTCCCCACCCTGTGCACACCTCACTTTCTCGCAGTGATGGAGTTGTTATTTATTTGGTCCTGGAGAGGGTGTCTGTGCCTTGTGGGACCCAAGACCTCCCAACATTAAAGCCCTGCTTCTTTGCCCCTGTCTCAGATTACTAAATGGGCCCAGGAGCTCTGCCCCCACCCACCCAATGAAGCTTGCCCAGCATCTCATCACCCAGTGCAGATGCCCTGATCACAGCCTTGGTCCCCACCCAGCTTGATGAGGATTTAAATGTAGTAGCCCAGGCTGGCCTGAAATCAGGGCCAACTTCCTGGAGGTGGTGGAACAACAGGCTGAGTTTGTGAGGGATGAAAAGGGGACTGGACAACAGGGCAGGCACATAGGGTGCTCAGCATCCTGGCCCAGAGCAGCAAAGGATGGAGCACACAGGTGTGAGCTGTTCATTATTCCCCTGCCCATGGGGACACCTTGGAAGGGTACCCAGTGTACTTATTTTGAAGGAAACTAGTAAAATGAGTAGAAAACAGCCTCCAAACAGCACAGCATCCACTAGGAGGCTCGTGGCCCACCGCCTTCCCCTAAACTCTGGAGAAGGATCATTGCTCAAACACTGGCACCGTCCGAGCCGTTTGAGATAACAGCATGAACAAATCAGACACGCGGCCCTCTTAAGGCTGAGGTTCCGACTTAATTTCTCGGAACTTGTAATGTGCCGGTCCAGAGGGGTGGTGGCCCCCAGCCCACTGGCCTTTCCTCCCCGCGGGGATGGGACGGTCTCAGGGCAGCAGTAAGGGTCTGTTCGATCTTGGGACCCCAATTGGGGCCTTGCTCTATATAAGACCACAAGCAGTACGCGCTCCTGAGGGCGTCCACCAGGAACTTGGGGGTCGTGCTATATGGCATGAGGTAGTTGCTCCCAAAATAGTGGCAGGGGGCACTAACAGTGGTGGGGGCTGCCAACTTCGCTCGGCTGGGAAGGTGGGGCAGGATCTGACCTGTGGATGGCGACTTCCTTCCGGGAACCTGTGGGGTTACTGTACGCATGCGCCTCCTTCCGGGGAGGCCCCGCCCCCAGGATCCAGGCCTCGTCTCCTCCGCGTATTCCAGCTCCGCCCCCGGTGCGAGTGGCCTCCGGAACCCCGAGAAGAGCGGTGAGCGCGGCTGTGACAGCATGACTTTGGAGGCAATCCGCTACTCGCGGGGCTCACTGCAGATCCTCGACCAGCTGTTGCTGCCCCAGCAGAGCCGCTATGAGGCGGTGGGCTCGGTGCGCCAGGCCTGGGAGGCCATCCGCGCTATGAAGGTGGCGTCGCGTGGCGGGGCTCAGGTTGGGGGTGGTTCCCCTGACTGCTGTCCCTGACGCCCCCAATTCCCCCTCCAGGTGCGCGGCGCCCCAGCCATTGCCCTCGTGGGCTGCCTCAGCCTCGCCGTGGAGCTGCAGGCAGGCGCCGGGGGAGCTGGCCTTGCCGCACTCGTGGCCTTCGTCCGGGACGCGCTGAGCTTCCTTGTCACCGCCCGGCCCACCGCCGTCAACATGGCCCGCGCCGCCCGGGACCTGGCCGACCTCGCGGCCCAGGAGGCGGAGCGGGAGGGCGCAACGGAGGCGGCGGTCCGAGAGAGGTAGAGGAGCCATGTGCCCAGCACTGTTCTCACCCGAGGCTATTCGTTCGTTCACTGGTGGTGGTGGTACACAGCTGCCACTTTTACAGTTGGGGAAACTGAGGCAGGGTCCTCAATCCAGGGCCACACCGGCAGGCCTGGGACTCAACACCGGGCCACCTGGCCCCGAGGTCCTTGAACTTCATCTTGTGTGTCTTTCCTAAACGTCCCCAGCCCTATCTGCCCTTGGAGGCCCTTGTAAAGTGTCGCCTGGTTTTTGCTTTTGAGAAATTTTGTTTCCAGCCCTGGTTCTGTCCCTGCTCTCTTCCCACTCTTACCCTCCACATCTGCTACACAGATATTCTCCGTTAACCCCACCAGACTCCTCCTGCCTCAGGGCTTTTGCACACTGTGTTTGCAAGCCAGGTATCCACCTAGCTAATCTTCTCTCCCTCAGGTCTCAGGTTTCTGCCTTCTCCATCCTGCATGTAATACAGTTCATCCCCTACCCTCTGTCTCCTGACTCTGCTGCCCTTTCCCTCCCTTTATTGTCTGCTAATCATTTGCCTACCCAACCCCAGTGTCAGCTCCCTAGAAGAGGAGATTTTTGTCTTATTCACTGCTGTGTCTCCCAGTGCCTGACAGCAGGAGATGCCTGGTACAATGTTTTGTGAGAGCGAATAAGTTACAGTTAGGTGGTTGTAGAAGAAGGGACCAGCCCCACAGCTGAGAGAGGCTTTCAGCAAGAGAACGCTAGTAGGGCAGAGTTGGGCAGTGAGGAGGAGCTGGGGTGGGCCCTGAAGCCTGGTGGCTGGTGCTCAGAGCCCCTTGTCGGCCTCAGAGTGATCTGCTGGGCCGAGGACATGCTGGAAAAAGACCTCCGGGACAATCGGAGCATCGGGGACCTGGGAGCCCACCACATCCTAAAGCGGGCAGCACCCCAGGGTGGCAAGGTGACTGTGCTGACCCACTGCAACACTGGTGCGCTGGCCACCGCTGGCTATGGCACAGCCCTAGGTGAGTGGGCGTCCACAGGGATGGGGGAGGGCCCTTTTTGGATGAAAGAGAAAGAAACCCAAACCACTATATGCATCCCCCAGAAAGGTGAATTTATTAGTTCTTGCAAAGAAACACACTCAAGGGGTTGGCTTCAGGTATGGCTGGATCTGGGGACTCAGTAGCATCGGGATCTTTCTATCCGCATCCCTAAGGTGTACCCTCCTCCATAGTGGCATCATCCTCACTCTCGACTGCTTGGCCAGGATTCAGATCACGAGAAAAGAGCCAAGGATCTCTTATTTCGACAGTGTCAAAAAAGTCTCCTTGTATCTTGGAGCCATGATGGAGTCACCTACCCATCTAGGATCAACCACTCAATAGGCCTAGGGTCAACCACTCAATAGGCAACCACTCAATAGGCCTGGCCTGAGCCATGTGCCTAGAATGTGGGTGGGATCTGGGCTCTAAGAGGACTGAGAGGAAGGGTGTAACCCCCTAAAGAAAGATTAGACTAGCTGTGACCAGGACTGGGGGACTGGGCCCTGGCACTCAAGGCAACAGAGTCCACCTGATTCTTAATTCTCCTGGGTGTTTCCCTGCCTGCCTCAGTCCCTCCTTTGTGCCTGGACACTGAGGCAAGACATTCATTCGTTTACTCAACAAATGCTTAGGGATTTCCCTGGTGGTTCAGTGGCTAAGACTCCATGCTTCTGATGCAGGGGGCCCAGGTTCCATCCTAGGTCAGGGAGCTAGATCCCACATGCCACAACTAAGAGTTTGGATGCTACAACTAAAGATTCTACATGCCTCAACTAAGACCTGATGCAACCAAATAAATAAATATTAAAAAAAAAATACTTATGCTTAATAAATGCTCATCTACTGTGTTCCCCATTATTCATGCATGCATCCATTTCTTCAATCACTCAACATTTATTAAGCACCTACCTGTGTGTGCCATTATTCACTCATGCGTGCATCCCTTCATTCAGTCAACAAACATTTATTAAGCACCTACTATTTGCCAAGCATCATTCTAGCAGTTAGGGACACAGCAGTGGAGAAAGTAGAAGGAATAGGCAAAAGCAAATCCACAGATACCTATGATTCATTTCAAGGTGGTATATACTAAAGAGAAAGAGGGGATGGCCGTGTGGGGGTTGCTTTGTGAGATGGAGTAATCCTGGAAGGCCTCACAGAGAAGGCTTTCTCTAAGCACATGTGTACCAGGCAGAGGGAACAGCCACTGCAAGGGCCTGGGGGCCGACTGCATGGTTTGGAGTACTGTGCTGCTAGCCAAAGGGTCATCTATCCCTTTCTGTCTTATCCTGGCCTCTTCTGGTGGGCTGGGCCCCACAGGTGTGATCCGCTCACTGCATAACCTGGGCCGTCTGGAGCACGCCTTCTGCACGGAGACCCGGCCCTACAACCAGGGAGCCCGGCTGACGGCCTTCGAGCTGGTCTACGAGCAGATCCCTGCCACCCTCATCGCTGACAGCATGGCGGCAGCCGCCATGGCCCACCGAGGCGTGTCAGGTCAGCAGGCAGGGGAACCGGTGGGCAGGGCTCCAGCATCCAGGGCTGGGTCCTGATTGCCAGGATCTCATTCCCCAGCTGTTGTCGTGGGAGCCGACCGAGTGGTTGCCAATGGTGACACAGCCAACAAAGTGGGCACCTACCAGCTAGCCATCGTGGCCAAGCACCACGGCATCCCCTTCTATGTGGCTGCCCCCAGCTCCTCATGTGACCTCCACCTCGAGACAGGCCAGGAGATCGTCATTGAGGAGCGACCCGGCGAGGAGCTGACCAATGTCAATGGGGTCAGGATTGCAGCACCAGGTAAGCCATCCATTCAGAGAGGGGGACACCACAATACCTGGGCACCTCTGTGTAGGCACCATGACTCTGTCACATGGCAGGTGGCATCTGGGTTATCGTCAGCCTTCTAAGACATAAGCAGTTCCTTCAAGCCATGTCATTAGACCAGACATGTCTTGGAGGTCAGATTCACCTGTGTGCATGTGTGCTCAGTAGTATCCGACTCATTGTGACCCCATGGACTGTAGCCCACCAGGCTCCTCTGTCTGTGGGATTCTGCAGATAAGAATACTGGAGTGGGTAGCCATTCCCTTCTCCAGGGGATCTTCCCAACACAGGAATCAAACCCACGTCTCCTACATCGGTAGTCGGAGTCTTTAACCACTGTGCCACCTGGGAAGCCCCGTTCCATGATCAAAAGGTACAGTGATGAGTCAGGAGACTTTGAGCAAATTGTCTTGTTCTTATCCACCTCTGTTTTCTCACTTGGATAAGAAGTAAGAATACCACCTGGCCAAGTGCTTCTGAAGAGACAGATATTTCTCAGCTTCCCCACACTTCCTGACTGTGGCCAGGTGCCTAAAATTCGTCCATGAGGGCCCTGTGATTGTTATGACCCTTACCTACCTCGTACACCCAGGACGTTCAACAAGTTAACCCAGGTGACATCACGAACAGTGCCTGCCCCTGAGTTAGTGCTCATTAAATAGTAACAGGTTACAATTGAAAACTTTTATAAAAAGGACCAGTTAGGGATAGTTAGGGAGTTTGGGACTGACATGTACACACTGGTATATTTATTTATGTCTATATCCATTCCCAATGGTTTGGAGGTAAAGAACCCACCTGCAATGCAGGAGACGCAAGTTCAATTCCCTAGGTCCAGAAGATACCCTAGAGGAGATGGCAACCACTCCTGTCTTCTTGACTAGAAAATTCCACGGACAGAGGAGCCTGGTGGACTACAGTCCGTGGGGTCGAAAAGAGTCAGACATTATTGAATACATGATGGATGGATATCCAGTTATTCAATTTAACTCACATTTCAGGTCAAAGATTGGTGTACACTGCTATATTTTAAATTGATAACCAACGAGGACCTACCGTATAGCACAGGGAACTATGCTCAATATTATATAACAAACTAAACGGAAAAAGAATTAAAAAAAAAAAGAAGACCAGTTAGAACTCCTGAGAACTGAAAATACAATGAGGCCAGCATCTCTTACTCCAAATATGGAATGACTATAAAACAACACTATACAGCTAAGCGGAAGGAAGTCCTAATATTCTATTGTTTTCTGCTGCAATTCCTTATAGCTTCCTAAAAACAGGTCACATTAGCAAACTATTGTGTATACAATGGGTAAACAACAAGGTCTTACTGTATAGCACAGGGAACTATATTCAACATCCTATGATGAACCATAATGGAAAAGACTATGGAAAGGAAATAGATAAATAAAAATAGATAATTCTGAAAAAATTTTTCTCAGTGGTTTTTGATGCCCCTGCTTTCCTAGGGGCTTAATTATTTAGCACTGGTCAAAATCCACAAGACCATGGAAAGCGGAATTGACAACTCAGCCTGCTTTTCCCTCCAAGAAAGCTGGGTGACATGGACCAGGTGAAATCCAGCGACCCCAGTACTCTGCTGTGGCCAAGGGTTACAGGAATGTAGGCCCCAGGGTGATCGGTCTTCTGATTTTTCCAAGAGAAGCCTTAACATTTGTTATATGGCTAAAATCTCCCACATTTTGAAAACTGAAATGTTAATTGCTCAGTCGTATCCAACTCTGCGACGTCATGAACTGTAGCCCACCAGGCTCCTCTGACCGTGATTTTCCAGGCAAGAATACTGGAAGGGGTAGCCATTCCCTTCTCGAGGGGATTTTTTGAAAGCTGACTGCTAATTCAGTGGTCTTAAAAAAATAACTGAGCCAGAGAAAACAGTTTGCAGCCTCTTGCGTAAGAGATTGTTATTCACTCACCAAATATTTTTGAGTACCTGATCAATGCCAGCTGCCATGCTAGGGGCTAGGGATACAGGAATGAAGAAAGACTTAAAAGTGGGACTTCCCTGGCAGTCCAGTGGTTAAGACATAATGCTTCCATAGCAGAGGGCTTGGGTTTGATCCCTGGTCTGGGAACTGAGATCCCTCATGCCTCTTGGCACAACCGGGAAAAAAAAAAGACACAAAGTCCCTACCCTCATGGGGCTGACAGTCCAGTGGGGAGACAGACAGACAAGACAAACAGTAAAATTCCAGTGTATGTTTTCAGAAAGGGATGAATAAACGAGGCACAGAAGGATACTGGAAGTGTCTCTTCAGGGAGTGGGTTAAACAGGTGATTAGCGAAGTTCTCACTGAAAATGTGATATTTGAGCAAAGACTTGAAAGGAAATGAAATATTAAATCATATGCATATCTGAGGGAAAGCATCCAGGCAGAGGGCACAGTCCAAGCAAAGGCCCTGGGGTGGACTCTTGGAGGTTCCTAAAGAGATTCTTGGAACAGTCACAAGTGGGGTAGACATGTATAAGACTTTGAAGCCTTCTTAGCAACAATCCAGGAATGTCAGGGTGTCTAAACTTATTACTGGGTGTCAAAACCCATGCATTATTGTATTTTGGGGGTAAGGATCCCCAGATTCTCAAGGATTCCCCAACCCCAAAAACCACCATGAGGGAGACATGTGACAATAGCTTAAGAACATCCACTGATCAGATACCTGCCTTCTTGCCTCTCCTCTTCCCTGCAGGAATTGGAGTTTGGAATCCTGCCTTTGATGTCACCCCCCACGACCTCATCACTGGTGGCATCATCACAGAGCTGGGCGTCTTTGCCCCCGAGGAGCTCCAGGCAGCCCTTAGTACCACCATCTCCTGAGTGGGAGACCCTAGATGGACCCCAGAAGTAACCAACCTAGCTCTCCATAGCTTCCATTTGCCCTCCATATCCCCATTATTTTTATAATAAATTTATTGAATGTTCTGCCCAACTGCTGACCTTCTTCCTGCAACCACAGTACTTCCCAGAGCAGGGAAAGCAGGCAGGATACGGGAAGAGCCTGCGTGTGGCTCCTGAGAGGCCAGCATCTGGAGCCCAGCTGCTTGAGTTCATATCCCAGCTCCACCTCTTTTTCTGCAGTGTGATCTTGGCCACATCACTTCATCTCTCGCATACTTTCTTTTCCTCGTTTATAAAATGCAGATAATACTGGTACCTGCCTCTTAAATTGCTCTCAGGGCTGAAATGAAGGTGACACCTCAGGTGCAGAATTTTAAAGGATGCCATAAAAAGCTCAGTAATCAAGATAAATGGGCTTCCCTGATAGCTCAGTTGGTAAAGAATCCACCTGCAATGCAGGAGACCCCAGTTCAATTCCTGGGTCGGGAGATCCACTGGAGAAGTGATAGGCTACCCACTCCAGTTTTCTTGGGTTTCCTTTGTGGCTCAGCTGGTAAAGAATCTGCCTGCAATGCGGGAGACCTGGGTTCAATCCTTGGGTTGGAAAGATACCCAGGAGAAGGGAAAGGCTACCCATTCCAATATTCTGGCCTAGAGAATTCCATGGACTATCTATGGGGTCACAAAGAGTCAGACACAACTGAGCGACTTTCACATTCAATCAAGATAAATAACAGCTTCGTGCATTTTTTTTTTTTTTAAAATTCAGGGAATTTCCTGGCAGTCCAGTGGTTAGAACTCTGCACTTCCGCTGCAGTGGGCACAGCTGGGGAACTAAGATCCGGCGTGCCAGTGACACAACAACAACAACAAAATTGGGGCTTCCCACTCGTGGCCCAGTGGTTAGGATTCTGCTCTTCCAATACAGGGGGCACAGGTTCGATCCCTGGTCGGTAACTAAGATCCCATGTGCCTCATAGTGTGCCTGCCCCCCCAAAAAAAGAACAGAAAAGAAAAATTAATGCAAAAAAAAAAAAGACCTCCATGATGAACAAAATATCAAGATATTCAATAGAATGAAACCCTGACCTTGCCTATCCTGACTTTCCCTAAGTTTTGATAACCAGCACTCATACCAGTAACACTTATTTACAGCATCAGACAGCCAGTCCACAGGCTGTAGTGGAAAATATTATTTTTTTAATATTAAAATATTATTTCTGAACGTTCAAAATATTTTTATCTTGATTACTGAAGTTTGGAGTGCTTAGTCGCTCAGTCGGGTCTGACTCTTTGCCATCCCATGGACTGTAGCCCACGAGACTCCTCTGTCTGTGGGATTCTGCAGATAAGAATACTGGAGTGGGTTGCCATTCCCTTCTCCAGGGGATCTTCCCAACCCAGTGATCAGAACCCAGGTCTCCCGCACTGTAGGTGGATTCTTTACCCTCTGAGCCGCCAGGGAAGCCCACTGAAGTGTGGGGCACCCCTTAAATTTTTGTTGTTGTTGTCAGGTAAACTGAATTTTACTAACAAAAAGCATAAGACAGTGTAAGTTTTACAAAACAAGTGACCAATAAATGTTAGGCTATCATTATAACCCTTAATTCAAAATTTTTGCCAAACGTTGGCTATGATAAACTACCATTGTAAGTAGCTTGTCCCTTTAATTCTTTGCCACGTTGTATCCCGTGAGTCATCGCGCCCTTCAGCCCCACTGTATCCCATCGTGCCCTGCGCCTTCCGTCAGCGACTTCTCCCTCTTCCGATGCGTGCCTGATAATGGCGCAGGGGCAGCGCAAGTTCCAGGCGCAGAAGCCAGCGAAGAGCAAGGCGGCGGCGGCGGCCTCGGCGCGGAACCGGGGCCCGAGGAAGGGCGGTGAGAAGCGGGCCGGGGACTCGGGGGTTAGGGTGGGCCCGATGTTCTCCAGCCTCACGAGAGCGCCTTTCTCCTCAGGTCGCGTTATCGCACCCAAGAAGGCGCGCATCGTGCAGCAGCAGCAGCTCAAGAAGGTGAGTGCTGGCGTGCAGCGGGTCGGGAATGGAGAAGTCCCAGTGCTGTGAGCCTCAGTTTCCTCCTTTGTGCGGTGGGCACGGAAACATCTAGCAGCCAACGGACCTCCTAAAGCAGGGATTGGCCCGCGAAAAAGTGTTCACATGTTACCTGCTTTCGCGAAATTGTCCTCGTTAATAGACCTCGAAAAGACAGGCAGCCTGGGAAAGGAGTTAAAAACCTCAGCCTTGCAAGAAGGATGTGCTGGATGCAAAACGCAGTTCAGTTGACAGTGTATCTACACCCCGAAGATCTTAACTGAAATGGCCCTAGTGATAGCACTTCTCTCCTAGAATTGTAAGGATTCAGGGCCATAGGCGTGCTTGTAGGTGAACAGGGTTAAATTTATAAAGAAGTTGCGGAAAGACTTGTTAAGATTGCAGAGAAGTTTCAAAGAGATCTGGTGGAGTCAGATCTGAATTCGAATTGTCCTCTGCACAGTAATTCGCCCTTTGTTGTTATTCAGTCGCCAAGCCTTATCAGACTCTTTGTGACCCTGTGGACTGCAGCACCGGCAGGCTCGCCTGTCCTCCACTGTCTCCCAGAGTTGCTCAAAGTCATGTCCATTGAGTCTGTGATGCCCTCCAACCATGTCTTCATCTGTCGCTCCTTCTGCCTTCAGTCTTTCGCAGCATCAGGGTCTTTTCCAGTGAGTCAGTTCTTCGCATCAGGTGGCCAGAGTATTGGAGCTTTAACTTCAGTGTCAGTCCTTCCAATGAATATTCAGGGTTGATTTCCTTTAGGATTGACAGGTTTGATCTCCTTGCAGTCCAGGGGACTCTCAAGAGTCTTCTCCAACACCACAGTTCCAGAGCATCAACTCTCCAGTCTTCCGCCCTACAGTCTTGAGCATATTGTTCAGAGCTTCAGTTTTTCGTCTTTTTGTTTGGCTGCAGCATGCAGGATCTAAGTTCCCCAACCAGGGATTGAACCCTTGCCCTCTACAGTGGAAGCACAGAGTCTTAACACCAGGATGTGAGAGCCTCAGTTTTCTTAGACCTGGGTACCCTGCTTACCTCCACCTGGCAGCCAGAGGAGGGAAGTGTCTCTTGGGCAGCTCAAACTCAGTATGCCCAAAACCAGGCTCCCCTACTCTGCTCCATCACCCCACCATGATCCTACCAGTCTCTCCTTCCAGATACTCAGAAGTCCCCCTTTCTCTCACATCCAGGTTGGCTCTCATCCTTTTTGTCTTCAGGATTTATTTTTAAAAAAAAAATTAATTAATGGGCCGGGCCGGGGCCCAAGTGCAGCAAAAGAAACGGTAAGTGGGGCCGGGGAAAACCAAGTCCCCGAACAAGGAACAAAACCGAACCCCCCGCAATGGAAACAAAAAAGCCTAACCAACGGAACAACAAGGAAAGCCCCGCCCTCAAGAATAAACCAAAAAGCAACCCCCTTCCAACCCCCTGAACCCCCCTCCCACCTGGTCCCATCCCATCATCTAAAAACACCTGGACTAGAACAGTCACATCCTCCCAGATCTCCTTCCCCCGCCCCTCCAGGAATAACCACGGGGCGCCATTGAGCACCTGAGAGCTCCTGAATCAGGGCACCTCTGCTCAGACCCCTCCATGACTCCCACCTCGCTCAGGAAGAGCCTAAGTTCTCCCCATAGGACCTGGCACTTTTCTACCCCTGTCTTTTCCCTGCCCTCACCCCCTCCCTCTCTCCTTTCCTCCTGGCTCCCTCCCTCTAGCCTAACTGGCCCCATAACTGCTCCTTGACCCACCTGGGAACTTTTGCACTAGTTTCCTCCACCTGGATTCTTTCCCAGAAATCCACACTGCTTTCTTCCTCCAGGTCAAGGCTGGCTGCTATTCCTGATGGTAACCTCTCCACCCCACCTCTTGCTCATTTTCCTTTCTCTTTTCTCTACAATAGCACTTACTGTCCACCATCATTGAACAGTTTACCAGAGTGTTATTGAAGGTCACACACACACACACACACACACACACCACACACACACACACACACACTGTCTCTGTCTCACTGAATGTCCGCTCCCTGAAGGCAGAAGTTTTTCTGTGTCTTTGCTGTTGTGTCCCCTGCGCCCAGGTGTGTGGTGACACCCATGGTCACCATGGTCATTGGAACTCATAGAGCAAGGGAGCAGTTTAGGTAATAGGATTAAACTATCAGTTTTGGACCCAAACACTTGGGCTCTGATTGCTATGCCTTTATTCCACCCCATATCTCTCAGAGCCCCAGTTCACCACTTGCCAAGCAGAGATGACGGGACAAGAAGGGACTGGAATTTTAAGCCAGAGAGTCTGGGCAGGCTGGGTTCCAGTCTCCCGTCACTCACATAGTTTGGGAGCCCTGGCCAAGTGCCTCCTCCCTGCAGGTGCCTCTGTTTCTCCATCTATAAAATGGGGATGAGCAGAAGTTTAGAAGCTGAGGTCCAGAGATGAGAAGGGGTGCTTTGTGTGTATACAGTGTTCTCAGAGTGTGGGGCAGAAGTAGGACTTAAGCCCCAGCCACCAGACTCAGGTGCTTTTTCAAGGAGAGGGATGCTGATCTAGCCCCTGATGAGCTCACAGAACCAAAGGCGGCAGGCCAGGCCCTCCCTCCCACCTCAGGTCCCAGTCTGATTGCTCCGTGCTTGCTCCCCCCAGAACCTGGAGGTTGGGATCCGGAAGAAGATTGAGCATGACGTGGTGATGAAAGCCAGCACCAGCCTGCCCAAAAAGCTGGCGCTTTTGAAGGCCAGCACCAAGAAGAAGGAGGCCTCTTCCTCCACCAAGATGCCTGCCTAAGGATGCGCCCCAGCAGGACCATCACTGCAGCCCCCTCCTCTGCGCTCAGGCCTGTGCAGTTAACCCCACAGGAAAGAGGAACTGTGCTCTCCAAAGCCTTGAACTGCGCCTCGAGCTTGACCGGGGATCTGGCCTGTGAGCCAGTGAGTAGCAGGTCAAAAGCACATGGACTGGCTGGCTTCCCAGGTGCCGAGGTCTCAGCACAGGCCAAGGCCAGGGGGATGTCTTCACCGACTTCCTGTGTCCCCACTACCCCCTCCCACATCCTGTCTGGATAACTTGGAGCGAGGCACCTGGCTTTGGCCTTCCTCCCAGGGTCACATGCTCCTGTGAGCAGGCCGTGCTGGGGCGTCGGGCCAGGTGCCCAGACCGCCCAGCCAGCCCCAGTTTACACACGAGCCACATGCCCAGGGAAGGATGGACAAGCTCCTGCACCTCCAGCCTGGGACCCGGGGGAGAGTCTTTTCTTTCTCCCTACCTGGGGTGACTCGCCTGCTTGCCCTCCACGGATATCCCTGTGTCTTCCCATCTGCCGGGGACAAGCCAGACAGCCTAGGGAGCCACTTTCCCATCCGCAGGACAGACAGTGACACCACCTTGTAGAGTCAAAATGCTGATTAAACCCGAAGCGCTTTCCAACTTCTCTGTGCCACCTTTATCTTTATAAAGTCATAACAGCGAGTATCGAGCAGTGCCTGTGGCCCAGACGCTGTTCAGGTGCTTCCCACACGTCTCACCTCAATCCTCATGATGCCCAGGTCAGGTCACGTCATTCATGGTCCGGATCAAGGACTTGAACCCGCCACTGGCAGAATCGCAGTGCACTCGCTCAGCTGCCAAACCACTGCCTCCCTTCACAGACTCATGTTTCTGACCTGTTCCATCCTGGGTTCCCCCTTCCATAAATCTGCCGTCTTGAAGACCAACCAGTTATAGTTTTTAGATAATGTGGTCAATTCTGATGAAACTGGTAGAAAATCCTACTTGAAGAGTGTCGTCATATCCTCGTGGCTTGCCCAGTGGCTCAGTGGGTAAAGAATCCGCCTGCAACGCAGGACACACCAGAAATGTGGGTTTGATTGAGGACCTGGGGAGCAGGGACCAGGGCAGGCTATAGTCTGGGGGATGCTAAGTCGCTGTCTTTGGAGGGAGGTGGGCATGTGATGGCCGATCCTCCCAGATGAGCGACTAATTCCCTGGTGGCCCAGCCTTTCCCAGCCAGTCTCACCCACCCCACATGGGTTTCCTTTGTCCCACATAGTAGTGGTCAACATTTTTTGAACGCCCAACATTTTCCTAAAAAGCAGGGAACAGGCACTTTCCTGGCAGTCCAGTGGTTAAGACCCCACACTCCCAGTGCAGGGGACATGGGCAATCCCTGGTCTGAAAGATGTCACACGGTTCAGCCAGGTAACAGAAAGCAGGGGACAACCACTGTGGAAAACAGTCTGGTGGCGCCTCAGTTCAGCCTGGAGTTGCCACCACATGACCCAGCCCTTCTCTCCCAGGCACATACCTTAAGGGATTGAACTCAGACAACATCTCACACAAAGGTGGCAGCAGCCCAAATGCCCAGCAGATGACTGGATAAACAAAATGAAGATTATCCACACAATGGAATATTTATTATTTAGCCATATAAAACAGAATGACCTCTGGTGGCTCATTGGTAAAGAATCCACCTGTAATGCAGGGGACGGGTTTGATCCCTGGGGTCAGGAAGATCCCCTGGAGGAGGAAATGGCAACCCAGTCCAGTATTCTTCCTGGAGAATCCCCGTGGACAGAGGAGTCTGGCGGGCTACAGTCCATGGGGTTCCAGTGTCGGACAGGAGTAAGTGACTAAGCCGTCACCATAAGGCAGAACGATCCAGGCTACACCATGGGTGAACCTCAAAAACATTCTGAAAGCAGACAGGCACAAAAGGCCACATAATATGTGATTCCATATATGTGAAATGTCCAGAAGAGGCAAATCCACAGAGACTGTGGTTCACTATGGGGTGCCGGGAAATGGGGAGTGACAGCTAACGGGCATGGCTTCATCTTTGAGGGGAAGGCAGTGATAAGATTTTGCAGCTTGATAGCGGTTGCAAACATTATGGAGGTGCTAAATACCACTGAATTACACCCTTCTAATGATAAATGTTCCTTGTGGGTTTTAACCACTGGAAAAAAAGGCAGGAAGGGAAATTTCACACCCCCCAAAAAAAAAAAATTCTCATTTACATCTCCAAAAAACAAGAACTGTGGTAGCAGAGCCCTAATTTGATAAGAGTTTAGAGTTACCTGGAGTCCAGGGTTCAGGATTGCTGTTGGGGAGGATGGAGCTGGTGAATGCCTCACAGACCCTTAACTAGAGGGCAGGGCTGCTGCTGGGCCCTGTGACACCCCCAGGGCACACCCTTCTTTGAACCCCACCTAGGGGCCTGGACCTCCCGCCATCTGCCCACCTCACAGCAGTTTTCTACCCAAAGCAGGTAGCAAGTGACTTCTGCCCTTGAAATGGACTTGCTTTGCACAATGGGGATTTTTTTTCAAATTATTTCTTTATGGCTGCGTTGAGTCTTCGTTACTGTGTTCAGGCTTTCTCTAGTTGCAGCAAGCAGGGGCCTACTGTTTATTGCAGTGTGCGGGCTTCTCGTTGCGGTGAGTTCACAGGCTCTAGGGCAAACGGGCTCAGTGGTTGCGGCGCACTGGCTCACTTGCTCCGCAGCTTGTGGGATCTTCCCCGATCAGGGATCGAATCTGTGTCTCCAGCATTGACAAGTGGATTCTTAGCCACTGGACCGCCAGGGAAGTCCATGATGAGCACTTATTGTGCGCCTACTGCATACCAACTTCTGGGCTAGGTATAACTGAGAACTGACATTCTAGTGGGGAGAACAGGAAGCCCCAGGCCACCCCCTGCGGACCCCAACCTCCTCCCTGACCTGCCTCCTGGCCTTTTTCACCCCCTGTTGCTTCTCCGCTCCTAGGTGTCCCCTCAGAGAACTGTTCTCTGTCCCCCGCTCCAGGAGATGGTCACTCAGTGCCACTGTCCCCTGTTTTCTGTCTTGCATCTTTGTTACGTCTTGAGCACCTGAAACAGTGGACAGTAGTTGCTCCACAAACAGGTGTTTGTTGAATGAAGGAAGAAAGGAATTGTTTCATCTTTCTGCAAGGAACATTTTGCATCCCAGTGAATCAGTTCTGACCATTCAAAGCATCATCTCCATACAACACGTGCTTCCTTTCCAGGTTAGCTGATTCATAACAGCCTCTTCGAACTTCACAGTTCTGTGAATTGTCAGCAAGTGATAGCAATTCAAAGCCACTCTTACCTGCTCCTTCCGGCTCATCCAGCGAGGTCCCATTGACAAGCCTCCTCCCCTGTGGAAAAACCAACTGGCCTCCGTTCACACGTTTATGTTTATTTACTCGGATAGTCTAATCTGTCCTTAAGAGTGCCTGTTTTCCTGGACTCTTTTGAACCTCGTGGAACATCTGCGTGGTTCCCATAGGAGTTCAATTAAAACAAAATCTTAACATGTGTCCTTTGTTTGTCGGTGAGAGCCATGATTACACCCACTTTTGAAAATTATCTTTTAACCTAGTTCTATGTGGAATCTTGAAAGGGCTTGCAAGGGCTGGGACGGTCTGGGCTCATGGTGCCAGCTGGCACATCCCTCGGCCACCAGGGGGCGCCTCCAGCCCTGGGCCAAGCCCATAACGCCCTGCAGGCCGAGGACTCCTGTAAACTGGCTCCCTTTGTCCCTCTGATGCCAGCCCCTTTGAGGAGGACCCCAGGGGTGAGGAATGGCATTCAGGTGTGACAGGTATGGGATCTGGACTGTCAACCCATCTGTTTCCTCTTTGCCCCATTCCCTCGGCCTCCTTGAAACAGCCCCATTTCCCTCCAGCTGCCCCCACCCTCCTCCTTGTCACTGCCCGGGGTGACTCCTCTCCTTCCTAGCATGTGGGTCCTGCCCGCAAATATCCTTTTAGTGTCGCAGCCGAGGGCCCCAAACTTTGGCAAACCCCCATACCTCTTGTTCTCTTCAGTCCCTCTCTCAGCCTCAGTTTCCGCATCTGTTAAATGGAGACCCTAACACCTCTTCCTGAGTGTGGAGAATTCGGTGAAACTTAAGGTTGTGACAGCTGCCTTTGTGTCCTGGGTGGGGTGGGAAGCCCAGTTCCAGCCACTCGCCCTGTCTTCTTTCCCTGCTTCCCCCACCCTCACCCCTCTGCCTGCTCCCCACCTCCCTGCAGTCATTAAATGTGGCTTTTTCAGACAATTATTCCTGCACGAGCCTTTTCCTCTTTTGCCTCCACCTTCCCCCTCTGCCTGGAATGCCCATTTTTCCTGGCAGGGCCCTGACTCTCTGCCCATGAATTTGTGTTCCAAAAGGGAAGAAAAGAAATGTAAGAAGCAGATCTTGCCAGCTGGGCAGGCCAGAGGGGCTGTGTCCGGACCAGGAAGCGAAACTGCCCTGGCTGGTTTCCTGCCTGAGTCTTCAGGAGCCTCGGAGTACCTGGGTGGGTCGGTGGGGGCCATGGGGGGGCGGTGCTGGCAAAGGGAGGGACCCTCAAAAAGTTAGGATGGGGTGGTCACAGAGCTGTGGGGTGCAGACCCCCTCATCTGAGACTGCAGGGTCACCCCGTTTCTCATGGGTCTCAAGGACATGTGGGTTTGGGGTCTGGAGTTGTGGATGCCTAGACAGTGAGCTCACAGCAGGGCGGTCAGGATAAACGTGGTTCCATTCCCTGAAGCCCAAACTCACTGTCTACACTGAGAGGACTTGCCTGTGGCTAGAAACCAACCCCCCAACCTTCTCCTTTTCTAAAAATGTTGCTGGGTTTGAAATAGGCTTGGAGACTGCATCCCAGAGGTGTGACACATTTCCTAGGTGTCTTGCTGATTTCTCCCATTCTCCTGGGATTGCTATGTGGCCTTGGACAGCTTCCTCACTCTCTCTGGGCCTCATTCCCCTCATCAGGGATCAGAATGGAATGCTGGTGTGTCCCAAACTGTGCATTTGATCCCCATCCAATGTGATAAGACCAGCCCACTCATCAAGGTAGGGCTTGAATGCTGGCCCTACCCTTTCCTGCTGTGGATCTTGATTAAGTCACCTGAATTGTCTGTGCCTCAGTTTTCTCATCCATGAGATGGGAACGATGGCACTATTAGTATCTCTTGTTAGAGAATAAAATAAACATCCTCACCTTGTGATGCCCCATCCTCTGTTCCTCTATACATCCTGTTCCACTGGCCTAGAGGGCCTTCTCTGGTTCAACATCTTGGGGCAGGGACAAGGACCAGCCACATACTGGATGCTGAAGGGAGCCGCTTGGAACAGCCAGACCGTGGGTCCTGTTTGCCGGGGGAGCAGCTGAAAGACTTGTTTTGCTGAAGTTCTGCCTGCTTCTCTCCTCACCCATTACCCCTTCCCCATACGTCTATCTTTGCCTCAAATCCTTGCAAGAAAGACAGGCTCCAATAAGTCTAGGGCTTCCCAGGCAGGCAAAGACTCCACGCCTCTAAGCCTCAGTTTCCCCATCTGGGAAATGGAGATGACATCCCCAGTTTGCAGCACTGTCAGAAAGCTTAAACTTGATCATGTGTCTGAACAGCTATAGCACACCATAAACAGTCAGTAGA